GCGACTGGAAGCATGTATCTGGGGTTTATTTACCTTCTATATTCTTCCATCGCAGGGGCAAGCAAGCCTCCTGCTCACTCCAGCTCTGTGGCCACGGGCTGCTGAAAACAGATATCTGGGGTTTATTTACCTTCTATAATTGAAACTTTGTTTCTTTGTTTGGAGCTCAGAGCAGGGCCGCGGCAGGCGGGGAACCTTGGCTTCCTCCATCACTGGAGCAAGCAAGCCTCCTGCTCACTTCAGCTACGTGGCTGCTGGCTGCCATCTTGGTTGGTGGTTAATTTGCATATCACTCTGATTAGCCAATGGGAAGCGAGGCGAAGGTACGGTCAATTACCCTTTTTGTCTTTTATTAGATAGGATTATGTTTATAGTAGTTTGTTACAGGCAACAGGAAACTAATAGAACTACTAAATCTCTATCTTCAAATGCATTATCCAAATGCCTACTTGGAATCTCCACACAAAATTAAAAAAAAAAAATAAAGGGGAAGGGGGTGAAAGGAAGGGAATAAAGGAAATGAGAAACAGGATAGATCAGGGTATCTTTTAGGCACTTCAAACTCAGTGTTCCACCCTAACCAGTTTGGCTCAGTGGACTCAAGGGTCCCGGGTTCGATTCCGGTCAAGGGCATGTGCCTTGGTTGCGGGCACATCCCCAGTGGGCAGTGTGCAGAAGGCAACTGATCGATGTTTCTCTCTCATCGATGTTTCTAACTCTCTATCCCTCTCCCATCCTCTCTATAAAAAAATCATTAAGATATATTTAAAAAATACAACAACTTAGTGTTCCTAAAATTTAATTTACAATCTTCCATGTTTTCTTTTTTAGTAAATAGTACCTCGATCTATCCTGTTTCTCATTTCCTTTATTCCCTTCCTTTCACCCCCTTCCCCTTTATTTTGTTTAATTTTTTAAATATTTTTATTGATTTCAGAGAGGAAGGGAGAGGGAGAAAGATAGAAACATCAATGATGAGAGAGAATCATTGATTGGCTGCCTCCTGCACACTCCCAATTGGGGATCAAGCCCGCAACCCAGGCATGTGCCCTTGATCGGAATCGATCGTGGGACTTTTCATTCCACAGTCTGACGCTCTATCCACTGAGCCAAACCAACTAGGGCCACCCCCATCCCCTTTAGTCAGTTAGATAAAAAACGAGACAAATAACTGGGCATGCGCAACTCAGCTCTACCCTCTTCTCTTGGGAACAGGCTTGCTGCAGAGTCTAAGAATGTTCCCCTATGTCAACATGCCAAGAGTTGATCAACTGCAGAGGAGAGTGAGCAACACTGCTTGGGAATGAATGGGTAAATCTGACTAATTCTGAGATGTATTTAATAGGCTCATTTGGATCTCCAACATCACAATGACCAGTAAAACTTTTATTTCATGTATGTTTTGGTCTCCATCTTTACTCTTCTACTTCTCAACTTATTCAGAAGCCAGGCATGTATTCAGGGCCCCCGGGCTCCCATAAACATCACAAAAATCTATGCAGAGCGAGTAGTAAATGACTAAGATTTTGTCTGATAAAGTGGTCAGGGAAAGCTTTCTGGACACCTAAATAAAGTAGGAGAATGGGAAGACCCACGCAAAGATCTGAAGAAGATGGGAGGTAAAAAGAAAAAAAATAGAGCTGATGTTGAAATGAGTGTGGCAGATTCAAAGCCTAGCTAAGAGGCCCCTGTGGCTAAACCAAAGGTAACAAATGAAGAAAGCATAGTAGAAAAGGTCAGAGAAAAACAGGTGTGAATCAGATCATGGAAAGCCATACGAGCCATGTTAAGAGCTTTGAATAGATTCTGAATTTGATAATGTAGCAGGTTATATTTTCTAAGTATGGTCACAGTATTTCTCATCCCACATGCTCTCCTGCAATAAGACCTTGCCATTCCCACATTAAGAAGCACAGTCTACTTTTCATTTTCCTCCCCCCCCCCCCCCCCCCCCCGCATCTAGGCAGATCTTATGACTGTTCTGACCAACAAAATATGGCAGAAGGGACACTGTGCCAGGAATAGCACTTAATTAGTTTGATCAGCTGAACTGGTCATAAATTTCTGACTCGCAAAATTGTGCACAAAACAGGTTGTTTTAAGCTTTGGAGTAGTCAGCAATAGATAATGAAAGGAAGAGAAGAAAAAACTGAGGGATGTAAATAAGGAAGTAACGTGAACTGATTTATGTTTTAAAAAGAGCCTTCTTGCTGCTGTATATTAGAAGATAGTTTAGGCAAGAGAAAATGGTAGCTCAAGTTAAGCTAATAAGAGTAGAGTAAAAATAGTGAGATGTTATAATAGATTGGAAGGTGGGGAGGCAGGTATTCAAAATGGCAAGCTGATTCTGAAGTTCAATAAAAATAAATCTGTGAGAATACCAAAGAAATTTTTGAAAAACAAGAACAAGAGAAGACTTGTATTATCAGGTACTGAAATATTCTATTGAGCTCTTATAACAAAACCAATACATAATAAACATAACTAATTAAAGACATAAAGCAGTTATTAGTACGTACATAGAAATTTAATATGATAAAGGTAATATTTCAAATCAGTGGTAGAAGAATAGATTAGTCAGTAACGTATTACCAGATCAATTGGCTATCCTCTGGAAAAATAACTTATATCAAACTTTAAAATGTGGGAGGTGGCAAGAGCTACTATGAAAAGAAAAAAAAAAAGCCATAAAACTATTAGGAAAAATACCAAAGAATAATTTCATTATATCGAGGTAAGGCAGATTTTCCTAAGCAAGACAAAATCCAGAAACCAGAAAGAAAAAACATATACACATATATTTGCCTACATAAAAATGTGTAAGTTCTGTTAAAAAAAAAGGGGGGGGGCAATACACTATAGCACTGACAAATAAAAAGGTAAGTAACAGACAAGAAGTAAAAGAATGCACAGCCCTGGCCCGTGTGGCTCAGTTGGTTGAGAGTCATCCCGTGCACTGAAAGGGTTGTGGGTTCGATTTCCCATCAGGGCACATCCCAGGTTGCAGGCTTGATCCTCAGTAGTGGTACACAGGAGGCAGCTAATCGATGTTTCTCTCTCTCTCCTCCTTTCCCTTCCTCTCTCTCTAAATGTCAATTTTTAAAAAAGTCTTTAGCCCTAGCCAATTTAGCTCAGTGGATAAAGCACCGGCTTGCGGACCAAAGGGTCCCCAGGTTCAATCCAGTTGCGGGCAAGTTAAGTGGTTGCAGGCTTCTCCCCAGCCAGGAGGCCCTGGTTGGGGTTCATGCAGGAGGCAACCAATGGACGTGTTTCTCTCACACTGATATTTCTCTGTCTTCCCCCTCTCTCTTCCACTCTCCCTAAAAATAAATAGAAAAATATCTTCAGGTGAGGATTAACAACAAAAAATAAAATTAAAAAGTCTTTCAAAACATAATGTGAAAAAACTAGCAGTCAAAAGGTTTACATAACTAATACATAAAGTTGTATTATATATTCATCAAACTATTCAATGGAAAAACTGTTGAAGAAATATGAAGCAATTCACAGAAGATGAGTGGCTAGTAAATATATGAAAACATGCTCAATTTCACTAATAATTCTAAAAGTACAAAATAAAATTAGACCATTTTTATAACTACATTTCTCCAAAACAAAATTAAGTACTATTAGAAAAAAATAATGCATAAGGAAATGACTATGCCTGGAGTGGGTATTTTTAATAAAATAAAATAAAATTAAAAAATAAAAGAAACAAAATTTTTAAAAGATAGGGTAGTTGTAATTGAGAAAACTGTGGGGTTGTTTTTTTTCTTTTTCTTTACTTTTATGAATTCCTCTTATTTTCAATTGGCATGTATTACTTTCCCAACTGGGGAAAAAAAGTAAATTAAGCTCCTTTTTAAACATTTCATGCTACCATACATAAATCTTTGTATATTATGGCAGAAATGTAAATGATCAAAACTACATAAAGAAAAATAATCTCCTTTTAACGAGAATCTATATTAATAAACTGTTAGCTACTTAAGATACAAGATTTCAACAAATAAGAGGATTTAGCAAGAGAAAGCATAACATTAAGCAAAGCACTGTGAACAATGGATAATTTGTTTCCAGTTGCACTCAGAAAATTCTTCAAAAGGTCACAAGCTAAAATCTTTGCTCTGTGTACATTTTAACCAGTTTCTAAAAGGCCCTTCCGACCATGACGGGGTAGGGGTGACATTAAAATTCATTTAACATAAATTTTCATCTAATGAGAGAAAAAGCTAAGAAAAAATCATATTAGGGGGGAAAACACGTAGAAAAAAATCATACTAGGAAAAAAAGACACATCAGCTGTAGCTACCAAATAACATAAATCAGGAAAAGATATCAAATGTTCATATTAGTTATTAGTAACACATTCCCCAAGGTGGACTCTGCACCACTGAAATATGACTTTATATGGCATCTAATGTGTGGGTGTGGTTGTGTGTTTGGGCTAGAAATGGGATGTAGGATATGAGCAGGATGAATAAGGCATTCATGGGGACAAAATGGAGCATACAGAGGGTACCCACATATACAAGGCAGCCCAGCAGAGAATGTCAGCACATGAATGGGGTAAGGACTGGATCCCATAGAGAGGGTAGACAGGCACAAGATATCAGAAATCCACAAAGGGTGCCCAGCTGGCATGGCTCAGTGGTTGTGCATCGATGTATGAACTAGGAGGTCACTGTTCAATTCCTGGTCAGGGCATATGCCCAGGTTGCGGGCTCAATCCCCAACAGGGGGGTGCAGGACACAGCCAATCAATGATTCTCTCTCATCATTGATGTATCTATCTCTCTCCCTCTCCCTTCCTCTCTGAAGTCGATAAAAAAAATCTTATTAAAAAACAAAAAAGAAATCCACGCAGAGTAAAAAAAGGTATCCACCTGGGAGAGCAGGCCAAAAAGAATGTCAGAGCCTAAATGGGATAGAGTGGGATGAAAAGATAAGAGCCTGGGGCCCAGTACGGGGTGCTGGACTTTGTTGTGCTTCTGCATGGTAGGAAGAAGGAAGTTCTAGCACAAGGTCTGAGCAGGATGAGGAGGATGTTCACACAGAGAGACAGCACAGGACATGAGCCTGAGCAAGGTAAGAAGAACATCCACTAGTGTTAGAAATGGGGGCTCAGGGATAGCAAGGCATGCTGGAGCCTAAGCAGAGTGAGGAGGACATCTGTGCTTAGGAGTAGGTGGTAATGGGGAAATGACAGTGATGGCAGGTTGGTTACATAAAAGGGGACTGATCAAATAAGTAAATATATTAAGAATAACCAGAGCCAGGTTTCTTACTGCTGAAGAAAGAAGTTACAAATAAAGAAGGGAGGAAATTACTAAGACTCCCCTAGTGTTGAACTAAAATTAGAAATGGTATAAACATACAGTTTTCAATAGAGATATAAAATTAAGTATTGATATAAACATGTACACACAGAGGAACATGAATACATACGTTCCCTAGTTCTGTCCACTGAGAAGACTTAGAAACAATGACAATTTAGTAGTAATGAGTGCATCTAGCCCCCAGATCTTGATTTCTAAATACCATTCTCCAATAAAAAGAACCAGGGCTCTTTAGAAAAATAATTAGTTCCAGCCCTAACAAAACAAAAGTTCTGAGAAGCCTGGAATATTTTGTTGTTCCAAAAAGAAGGGACATGCTCAAAGAACGATAAAGGCATGTCAAAAGGACACAGAAGCCAGATGGAAGAGGCTCTCACTGGCCAAATCTAGAATAATTTGAACATGAAAACAAATAATGATTAAACAGATTATCATTCACTGAATAACAGAAAACCTTTAGTCTGTACTCATAGAAATAAATACTTAAACTGAAAGCCTGATGAGAATGGAATACTTAGTGTTCTAAAAACCCCCATACAATGTGTGTGTTTACAAGGGGAAAAGAGTTAACTTCACAAAGAAGAAGTTGTCTTACCACTTTAATCAAGTGATCAAAGTTAGCATCCTCAATAATGGGATGATCTAAACTGTGCCATCTGATAGGATAAAATGAAAAAAAAAACACAAAGCATTATATCTGAGATATTCCTATAAAAAATGTATGTGGTAAGCCCAAAATGAGGGATAACTTACAAAATAAGTAAGTGATACAAAGTAAGTGTATAGTCTTCAAAAGCATTTGGACTTGATCCTTTTGATATAAAGGACATTGTTAGGACAAATGACCAAACTTTAATGGGGCCTGAGAATTAGATAGTAGTAGTAATGTATCAATGTAATTTCCTGATTTTCATAAGTGTATGTAATGTAGTAGCATGTTTTAATTTGTAGGAAAGACAGTAAAGTATTCAGGGGTGATAGGACATTATATTAGCAACTTACACTCAAATGGTTCAGGAAAATATAGTTTGTGCTTTACTTGTAGCTTTTCTAAAAGTTTATTATTGCTTCAAAATTTTTAAAAGATTAAAAAGTTCTGGTTCAGTTCTAATTCCATATAGGTTAAACAGGTTTTGGAGGGATTTACACCAGCATTTCTATGGAGAAATAGTGGCTGAGTTGCACATAAACTTGTAAGTGAAGTGGCAGCATATATCCTATTCACAGGTTGAAAGTTGCACTGCCCTTAGGAATGTCAGCTTTCCAAAATCTGATGCTCAAACTCAGGATTAAAGAAGAAAAAGTACCTCCAAAAGCTACAAAATCATTTTGTTCCTAAACTCAAACAAAAGTCTCCTGGTTCTTAATTTAATTTACAGACAAGTCCCTTGTTCTCTACTCATAAAATCTAGCAATGGTTTATTTTTGTAATACAACTGGGCTAGAAGTTGATCCACTGGTGGGTGTGGTACAGTCTCCAAGATGACTCCCCATGAGCCACACCCCTCCTGCTATTCACACTTCCCACACTGTAACAGGGTTGGTCACTCTTAACTACTAGAATACCACAGAAGTGATGATGTGTCTCCTCCAAGGTTAGGTTATCAAAGGCAGAGGCTTTCACCTTGGACTGCCTTGTCTTCTCTCCCTCCCTCCCTAATTCTCTCCTTCCCAATATCACCCTCTCTAGTTTTGTGATTTCTCTTCACCTGCTCTACAGAAAACCAAGAACCATGTTTTGAGGACACTGAGGTGGTCTTTGGAGAGGTCCACATGGCAAGGAACTAAGGCCTCCTGCCAACAATCAGGCAAGTGAACTTAAGATGTGCATCCTTTCCCCAGTCAAGCTTTCAGATGCCTGCAACCCCAGCCAACAGCTTGACTGTAACCTCAAGAGAGACCCTGAACTAGAGGCACCCAGCTAAGCCACTCTCACATTTCCTGACCCACAGAAACTGTGAGATAATAAATGTCAGTTGTTTAAGCTGCTAAATTGTGAGGCATTTGTTTTGCTGCAATAGATAACTAGTACATTGTGAGTCAAAGTGCTGAAAAGGCTAGAGGACACCAATCGCAGACCCCCACAAGAAGAAGAGTAAGATTTTGTCCCAACAGATCCCTGCTGGCTACAGGATGGATAAAAGATAATGTTTAAATTCTAATCAGAAGACTCTCATTCTAGTGAAGAAACAACACCAAACAAATGTCTTAGTGGCAAGAAAAAAAGTAGAGTATTTCCTGATTCTGAAATTGCAAATCCTTCCTAGCCTCTACATTGCCCAGAATTTCTAGCATTCTTTCAGATTTTGGGGTTTTGTTTGTTTTTTTTGAAGACTGAGAACGTTCTCTGTGTCGGGTACTATGCTGGGTGCTACAGATGTAACTACAAAGAAGTTAAGAATGATCTTTTTTTTAAAAAAAAAATACTTTTCAAACACCAAAATTTCTATACCATAAGAATTTTTGTGTGTATGACATGTGATTCTATGGATATATTTTTGTTGTACTGTTGACACAAAACTTTTATTTTTATAAATTAAATGCTAGAGGTCTTCTGTTTGACCATCCATTATAATACTAGAGGCCCAGTACACGAATTCATGCACCAGTGGGTCCCTCAGCCTGACCTGCGGGATCGAGCCGAAACCAGCTCTCTGACATCTCCCAAAGGGTCCTGAATTGCAAGGGGATGCAGGCCAAGCCAAGGGACCCCACCAGTTTACGATCGGGGCCAGCTGGGGAGGGACGTCATGAGGGCTCCAGGGTGTGTCCAGCTTGTTTTGCTCAGTCCTGATTGGCTGGACCCCAGCAAGCAAGCTAACCTACTGGTTGGAGTATCTGCCTCCTGGTGATCAGTGCACATCATAGCTACTGGTCAGCCAGTCAACTGTCTGCCCCTCAGTGGTCAGTGAACATCATGGCGAATGGTTGAGTGGCCTTAGCATATCATTAGCATATTACGCTTTGATTGGTTGAACGGCCAACTGTTCAACCAGACACTTAGCGTATTAGGCTTTTATTATGAAATTTGTGCATGGAGGGGGGTTTCCTCAGCCCAGTCTGTACCCACTCCAATAGGGGACCCCTTGGCGGTCGGACACCCCTCTCACAATCTGGGACTGCTGGCTCCTAACCACTCCCCTGCCTGCCTGCCTGATCACCCCTAACCTCTATGCCTGCCTGCCTAATCACCCCCAACTGCCCTCCCCTGCTGGCCTGATCTCACCCCCAATGGCCCTCCCCTGCTGGCCTGATCTCACACCCAATGGCCCTCCAGCCCTGATAAAGGCCTGGAGAGAAATGGAGGCGAGGCTGTTGGCCAGGCCGAGAGAGAAAGAGAGGCAAGGTCTGATCAACAGCTGCCACAGAGGCTAGGGATCAGACCCTGCCTCTCTCTCTGCAGGCCTCTCTCTGGGCCTGATCCGCAGTCACCTAGGCAGTCAGTGCTGGGTCGGGGCACCCACAGCGACCCCAGTTAGTGCTGGGTCATCACTGCAACCCAACACTGGCTTCTGATTTGGTCGAGCCTTCAGTTGTAATCGGTCGTTACAACCCTGGCTCTTTATTATATAGAGAGGATTCCTATAAATAATATAATTACCAGTTAACACTTATTGAGCACAAGTATCAAGCACTAAGCACATTCTATACCAGGGGTGGGCAAACTTTTTGACTCGAGGGCCTCAATGGGTTCTTAAACTGGACCGGAGGGCCGGAACAAAAGCATGGATGGAGTGTTTGTGTGAACTAATATAAATTCAATGTAAACATCATTACATAAAAGGGTACTGTCTTTTTTTTCAATAGTTTTATTCATTTCAAACGGGCAGGATCCGGCCCGCGGGCCGTAGTTTGCCCACGGCTATTCTATACTTTCTTTAATCTCACAATTATCATTATCCCAATTAATCTCTTAGTCTCATTCTCTGCACTCTCCTCTCATCTTCCCACTCTTATTCATATTTTCAGAGATGCCATTCTTTTTCTTTTTAGAGAGAGAGTGGAAGCTAGGGCAGGAGAGTCAGAGAAACATGAATGAATGTGAGAGACACACATCGATTGGTTGCCTCCTACATGGAGAATAAACCTGCAACCCAGGTATGTGCTCTTGACTGGGATCGAACTCAAGACCCTTCAGTGTGCAGGATGATGCTCTACCACTGAGCCACACGGGTCAGGGCCAAAGATGCCATTCTTGAATCCTAGAGCAGGTCTCCCATATATGCTCTTTGAGCCTCCTTGACTTTTCCTATATAGTTCTTAAAATAACTGTAATTAAATAACCAGATGATAAGCTGTTTAATATTCATCACTCAGGCAAAAATGCAAGTTCCATGGGAGTAATAAGGTATCCTTTTTTGTAACCTATTTTAACCTTGGGGTTAAGTCTAAAAAGGCAATTAATAAATGCTTGCTCAATAAAAGAATGAACTATAGTCCCCGCATCACTTAATGAGGGAGTTACCTTCTGGGATATGCACCAATAGGCAATTTCATCATTGTGGGAATATCATAGAGTGCACTTATACAAACCTAGATGGTACAGACCAGTGGTTGGCAAACTGCGGCTCGCGAGCCACATGCAGCTCTTTGGCCCCTTGAGTGTGGCTCTTCCACAAAATACCGACTTCTGCATATGGGCCACGAAGTTTCAATCGCACTGTACATGCGCACCCGCACGTGGTATTTTGTGGAAGAGCCACACTCAATGGGCCAAAGAGCTGCACCACTTAGACTATCAGGTATTGCTCCTAAGCTACAAATCTGTGCCAGTTACTGTACTGAATACTGTTATGTATTGGTAACACAATGGTCAGTATTTGTGTATTTAAACATAACTAAATATAAAAAAGGTACAGTAAAAATTCAGTATAAAAGATAAAAAATGGCAAGCCTATACAGGGCACTTACTATGAATGGAGCTTTCAGAACTGGAAGTTGAATAAGTGGTGAGTGAATGTGAAAGTGCAGGACATTACTGTACACTACTGCTGACTTTATGAACACTGTCCCACAGTTCTCCCCTGCTTCCTGTCTATAACTTCAAAGCTGTCAGAGTGCTCCACGAACAGGGATATGGACTAAACTGATTGGAAATACTGAGGAGAAACTGGGTGAAGCACAGATAAGTGTAATGGTGACTGTCAAGAGGGCGTGAAAGGTGGCCTGAGGATCAGTAAGAAAAAGAAATCCAGATGGAGAGATAAAAGAACATAGCGGGTTCTCAGGGCACTGTGGTTTTGGTTGTTGTATGTTGGAGCAGTGATCAGATTAAGAAACTTTGTGGTATTCCTGAAAAAAAAAAGAGGGTGTTTAACATGGAGAAGGTACAGAACTGAGACTGAGGATTCAGTACCGTTTTAAACTATTACGGATATTGTCACATTTCCTACTATTTTAATGCAAATATTTCCCCCTAACTCCCATCCTCCTGCCCTTTGGTAACCATCAGCTTATTTTCTGCATCTATGGGCTGTTAGAATTCAGTATTTTGACTTTGGAAACTTGTTTTAGTTCCACTGACACTCTCTAGCATTGATTTGATGGAAAAAATAAAACTTATCTTTATTGGTGCTTTACATCATTACAACCTGAAAATACTTCCAAAGTACAGAGACAGGTAGTATGCATTTCCACACTACCATAGAAAGCTTTTACTAAAGTGGCAGTGGCACTTAATACTTGTTAAGGTAGCTCTTGTGGAGCTGTGTCCTTATACAGGATCTTAGGTTCTCAACAAAGAATTTACAGCAATGTACGCTGAAGACCATCAAGCTATGGAGGGGGTGGGGTTGGAACCCTCTATGCTGAAACAGATTAGTATTCTGTG